CTGGCAGTGTTGAAGGGCAGGTTGGATGGGGCTTGGAGCAGCCTGGGCTGCTGGGAGGTGTCCCTGCCCATGCAGGGGGTTGGATCTACATGATCTTGAAGGTCCCTCTAACCCAAATCAGTCTGGGATTCGATGGGTTATGCTGGGTGGCCTCCCAAGTCCAGCACGAGTTCGAGGTCACAAGGTTTCATCCTGGCTCTCATAGAGGCTTCGTGGGGGGAGCAGGGGAAGCTCAGCCCACCCATCACTGCATTAAAAACCTTGGCTTTGAGGGGTGTGAGGACTTTCAGGGTGAGGGATCAGCCTGGCCTTTGTTTAGAAACAGCAACAAAACAGAGAGAGCAAAGCCCTGTGTCCTGGCTGGCAGGAGCTCAGCCACCAGGGAGACCCAAAGCACATCTCCCCATCTTGCTAAAAAAAACCCAAAATAAGGCTGGAAGGGAGAGTTTGGCAAAGGAGATGCAGGTGCTGGAGGTGACCAGGGAAGCACAGACCTGCAGGAGACTCTGGTGAGGAGCCAGGAGGTGCCAGCAGAGCTGCTGTCAGGGCAGGAAGGTCTGCAGGAGGGCAGCAAGACTCAGGGCAAAGCTCAGGCTGAGGAACTGAACCTTCCTCCTTCTCCTCGGGGCATAAGGAGTTTTGCAGCTGCCCCAGGGTGCTGGGAGGGGGTGCAGCCCCCCCCCCCCCCCCCCCCCCCCCCCCAACCCTGCCAGCTTCTCCTCCACCCTCCCTGGAGGGGTTTGGCAAATACTCCCCAGTGGCTGGAGCTGGGCACTGAAGCGGGGCAGTAAACAGGGCTGGGGCTTCCTGCCCAGCTGCAGCAAGAGGAACCGAGGCACAGGGGCACCCATGGGTGCTGGGGGGTCCCCAGTTCACCCCACTTCCTGCACTGCATGGCAGGTCCCATGGCTCCATCCACCCCTTTTCCCAGGGCAATGGGTGGTCCTGGGGTCTGAGAACCTCCCTGGCCAGCACTGGGCTCCAAGCCCAGGGAAGCCCCAGCAGAAAGTGTTTCATAGGGTCATGGAAACATGGAATGATTTGGGTTGGAAGGGACCTTAAAGATCATCCAGTCCCACCCACTGCATGGGCAGGGACACCTCCCAGCAGCCCAGGCTGCTCCAAGCCCCATCCAACCTGCCCTTCAACACTGCCAGGGATGGGGCAGCCACAGCTTCCCTGGGCAACCTGGGCCAGGCTCTCACCACCCTCACACCAAAGAATTTCCTCCTCATGTCTCACCTCAATCTCCCTCTCCCAGTTTTCATCCATCCCCCTCATCCCATCCCTCCCTGCCCTTGTCCAAAGTCCCTCCCTGTAGGCCCAGAAAATGGAGAGTGTAGATCAAGGGTGGGAGGGCTCTGACCCTGCCTGAAGGACACCAGCTGGGGTGGGGGTGGTTAACAGCAGGTTTCACTGGGATGGCAACCAGAAAGCAGCTTAGAGGAAATCCAAGAGCTGGGATGGAAAGGGAATGGTTTGCACCCAACTCTCCACTGCTCCGTGTCCTCGGAGTGGGGCTCTGGTGGCTGCTCCCAAGCACCCCCTCCCAAACTGGGTGGGCACAAAGGACACACTGTGTGCTCCATCTCATGGGGGACATCCCACATGGGCTTGTCCTACATGGGTTTATCTTACGTGGACTTGTCCTACATAGTTTTGCCCCACATGGGTTTGTCCTACATGGGTTTGTCCTGCACGAGTTTGCCCCACATGGGTTTGTCCTTCATGGGTTTTGTCCTACATGGATTTGTTCTACACATGCTTATCCAAGCAGGCTTGTCCTCCACAAGCTCTTGGCCACTCTCAAGGCCCCTCTCCTGTCTTGCAGGTGGGATCTCAGCAGAAACCAACAGCACCTGGAACAGCACAGGTAACCTCTCCCACCCGTTTGCCTCTTCCCTACGTGTGTCCCCAGGGTCCCTCCCAACCCCTTGGCTGTACCATGAAGGTGCTGGGGATGTTCCAGCACCCACAGCCCTTCCCCACCACATAGGGGTGACCTCCTCCATGGCGTTTCCCCAGCCCCTCCATCTTCCTCTCCCTCTCCAAAGCTGGGTCCATTTTGTCTTTCCAAAGAACACACACGTGTCTCCTCTGGATCTGGATGGACCAGCCATGCCCTGGGGCTGGACCTTGTGCCATCCCCACCCATGGGGTGTTAAGCATGAGGGCTGCAACCCCAACTCACCAACTCTGGGGCCAAAATGTGGGCAAAAGTACAAACCACAGGACAAGGTGACAGATGTGGAAGTGTGAGGGAAGGTGGGTGAGGACACAGGTCCCTGGTTCGTGCCAGAACAGGCTGGAATTTGGGAGCTGGGACTAACAAACAGAGGTGGGAGCAGTAAAAAGAATCCAAGTGAAGCCAGAAAACTGGGGTGTCCACTAAAAGCACATCAGGACCCAAAGTCTCTGGATTTCTACCCCCAGAAGATTCACCAAAGCAAACCTGAGTGATCAGAAACAAAATGACCCATGGAAGTGGGAAGGTCTTGACTTGGGAGATGCTGGAGGGGAGGGGAGGGGGATGTTGAGGGAGTGGCTTTATTTCTGCTGCTCCTCAGGTGCCAGGTCCTTGCTCAGCATCACCACCTTGTCCCCTGGCAGGGGGGGGGTGCCCCTTGGTGCACCAGCAGCCGCGCTACGTGGCGGCCAAGAGGAACATGCCCGTCCACTTCATCTGCTACTCCCAGGACCCCCAGGGCATGTGGTGGTACCGAACACAGGGGGACAGCCACGACCTCCAGGAGGTGGACTTCAACACCTCCCGCTACAGCATCGAGAGGAAAGACAACTTGATTAACTTCACCATCTTCAGGGTCCACTCCAGGGACAGCGGCATCTACATCTGCGGCAGCAGGAACCTCTCGGTGCAGGAGCAGCCCCGGCCGTGCCCCACAGAGCTCAGGGTCGTGGGTGAGTGGGACCTCCCCAACCTCCCTGCACCCCACGAGATGCTGCTTCTCCTCCTCTCAGCCTTGCCCCCTCCATGGGAACCCTACTTTGTGCTCCTATGCACCCACCTCTCCCTGTGCTGGTGGGACTGGAGAATCGTGGAACGGTGAAGGTTGGAGGGACCTCAAAGCCCATCCAGTCCCACCCCTGCATGGGCAGGGACACCTCCCAGCAGCCCAGGCTGCTCCAAGCCCCATCCAACCTGCCCTTCAACACTGCCAGGGATGGGGCAGCCACAGCTTCCCTGGGCAACCTGGGCCAGGCTCTCACCACCCTCACAGGGAAGAGTTTCCTCCTCATGTCCAACCTCAATCTCCCTCTGCCAGTTTTAAACCATGATCCCTTGTCCATGACACCTTCAGACACACCAGTAGATGCTCCATGGCACAGCAGAGGTTTCTTTGCTCACTGCCAAGCAGCAGGACAACCCCCCAATTGGCCCTGGCACATCTATCCTGCAGAACCACCTCCCAGGGACTGCAGTCCCTGGTACATCAGCCAGTGGTGGGTCCTGCCCAAGCATCTCATCCCAAAGCTGGTCCCTGGTGCCAACCCCAGGGGCAGGTTGCAATGCTCTGGTCTCTCCCAAGAGGGAGGACATGTCCCCCTGGTCCCCTCCATCCACTCTTGCTGATACACAAACCTGTGGCCATGCTGAGCCTGTCCCCACTCCTCGGGGGTCTGGCACAGAGGTGGGACCTGGGGCTCTTCCCCTGCTGCTCCTCCCAGGTCACAGCAACCTCCAGCAGATCAGGAACAGGAACACCCTGAAAGATGCCATCATCATCATCCAGTCCATCCTGCTGGTCATCTTCATCAGCGTCCCCACACTCTTATTCCTAGATAAAGTAAGTGGCAGTGTCTCCAGGAGCAGGGGTGTCCCCAGTTTCACCAGTGTGCTGGTCACAGTGGTGTCCTGTAGGGATGGGGATGGGCAGGGACAGGGTTTGGGGCTGATGTGGTGGCTGATGTGGGAACTGAGCATCTCCAATGGGGTGTGGGGACTGCCTGGGTTTGCCTGTGGCCTGAGGGGACCAGGATGGGGACAAGGGACAGAAGATCCTGATGGGTGCTGGTGACACCCAACCTGGGACTCTCCTCTCCATAGGGTGAAGAGAAGAAAAGCCCAGAGGAGGACCACACCTATGAGGTAATGCTGCATTTCTTCTAGAAATACCTGTGTAATGTCCACCTGAGCCTGAACCAACCTGGTTGGGTCCTTGCTGAGGGTCTCCAGGCACCACCAGCCCTGGGGCACATCAGGGCACCTTCCTCCTGGGTGCTGGTTGCACATCAACCATAAAGAGCTGCTGGGAAAACCAAACCAAGCTCTGACCACGTCCAGCATCCACCTCCTCCTCTGTCCCCTCTCAGAAGCTGCCCCAGTCTCTGGGGAGAGCCTGGAGATGGGACCCATGGGAGGGTCCCAAGTGGGGGGTGCCCTGTGGCCACAGCCATGGACCCCTCCCCATGTCTCAACCTCCTTCTTCTGGGTGCAGGGCCTGGAGGTGGATCAGATGGCCACCTATGAGGACATCACCCCTTTCCGGGACGTGAAGGCCAAGTGGACAGTGGGGGAACATCCAGGAGAGGAGTGAGGGGTCCTGCACCCACCACCACGGGGACAGGCCCCTGGACCACAGCTCTGATGGATCCTGGGCCACCTCCAGCAGCCTCAGGTGGAGCTCAGGTCCTGCTGCCCTTGGCTCCTGGCTTTGCCATGTCCAAGCTGTGCCCACCGAGGCTGCCCTGCCCCAGCTCTCACCCTCACCACCCTGCTGATGGACCCCTGAAGCCTACCTAGAAATTAGGAGTCACCTGCAGTTCCCCCCAGCACCAAACTGGCCCCAAACCCCCGGGCAGCCCCACCCCAGGGTACTCAGCTCCTGTGGGGTTAATGCAATGGAAGCACCAGGGTGGGAGGTGGGTCCCCTTCAGCCCCACCATCCCTGGGAAGGACTCCCCCTCGGCCCCCTCCCAGAAGCTGCCCCAGTCTCTGGGGAGAGCCTGGAGATGGGACCCATGGGAGGGTCCCAAGTGGGGGGTGCCCTGTGGCCACAGCCATGGACCCCTCCCCATGTCTCAACCTCCTTCTTCTGGGTGCAGGGCCTGGAGGTGGATCAGATGGCCACCTATGAGGACATCACCCCTTTCCGGGACGTGAAGGCCAAGTGGACAGTGGGGGAACATCCAGGAGAGGAGTGAGGGGTCCTGCACCCACCACCACGGGGACAGGCCCCTGGACCACAGCTCTGATGGATCCTGGGCCACCTCCAGCAGCCTCAGGTGGAGCTCAGGTCCTGCTGCCCTTGGCTCCTGGCTTTGCCATGTCCAAGCTGTGCCCACCGAGGCTGCCCTGCCCCAGCTCCCACCCTCACCACCCTGCTGATGGACCCCTGAAGCCTACCTAGAAATTAGGAGTCACCTGCAGTTCCCCCCAGCACCAAACTGGCCCCAAACCCCCGGGCAGCCCCACCCCAGGGTGCTCAGCTCCTGTGGGGTTAATGCAATGGAAGCACCAGGGTGGGAGGTGGGTCCCCTTCAGCCCCACCATCCCTGGGAAGGACAGGGCCAGGAATGATCCCTCTCCATGCTGCAAGGACCCTCCTGGGCTGCAAGACCCCACTGCAGCCCTGGCAGAAGAGCCTGGGTGAGCAACACCCCGTGGGTGCTACAAGAAGTGGCTTTTGGGTTCAGCTCTCCAGCCATGGATGTGTCCAGCAGGTCACGTTCTCTGAGATGGAAGATCCTCCAAAAGCACCTCTTTCTCCCCAGAGGCTACAGAAGAAGCTGGGGAGGCAGCTCTGCCCCAGGGGATCTTGCACAAGTCTTGCTCCTCCCCAGGCAAAAGCTGATCCGTGTCAGGGGATGTCCCCTTGGTGAGGGACACTTGGGAGCTCGGAACCTCTGGGGAAGATGCACCTTGTGGGACACCAGTGTCTGACTGCTTCCTGAAGTCCTAATAAAGGCAATGGGTGAATTCACATCCTGCTCCATCCTAGAATCACAGAATCATGGAATCCTTTTGGTTGGAGAAGATCCAGCCCAACCCTTCCCCCAGCCCTGCCCAGGCCACCCCTGCCCCGTGTCCCTCAGCACCATCTCCAGGGCTTGGAAACCCCTCCAGGGATGGGGACTCCCCCCCTGCCCTGGGCAGCCTGGGCCAGGCCCTGACAACCCTTGCCAGGGAGAAACTGTTCCCAAGGTCCAACCTAAATCCTGTCATGCCCCATCCAAGGGTGTCCCATAACCTTGATGCCAGGGTTGGTGGGATGTCCTGGATGAAGGAGCAGCTTTTCATGAGTCCAGATTAGATAGAAACCAAACTTCACCTCGTCAGGGCCCCAAGCTCAGGCAGGAATGTAAAGCTGTGAGTAACCATGGGCTGTGCTGGGAGCCTGGCCAGCTCAGCACGGTGGGTTTGGTGGGTTTGGTGGGACAAGGACTGTGGGGCTGAAAGTCTGTCCCACCTCAGAGAGGCCAGGGCCCCTCTGACCCTGTAGCTTGTTCAGCCTGGAGAAGAGAAGGCTCCAGGGAGACCTTAGAGCAGCTTCCAGTGCCTGAAGGGGCTCCAGGAAAGCTGGGGAGGGGCTTGGGACAAGGGCAGGGAGGGATGGGATGAGGGGGATGGATGAAAAGTGGAAGAGGGAGATTGAGGTGAGACATGAGGAGGAAATTCTTTGGTGTGAGGGTGGTGAGAGCCTGGCCCAGGTTGCCCAGAGAAGCTGTGGCTGCCCCATCCCTGGCAGTGTTGAAGGGCAGGTTGGATGGGGCTTGGAGCAGCCTGGGCTGGTGGGAGGTGTCCCTGCCCATGCAGGGGGTTGGATCTAGATGATCTTTGACATCCTTTCCCACCCAAACCAGTCTGAGATCCTATGATTCACTGGTCAGAGCTCAGCCATAGGCCTGGGAAGGTCTTCTCCACACACCCACCCCATGCTGGGGCTCAAGAGGACCCAGGGAGTGCACAGACCTGCAGGGAAAGGTCCCTCCCTTGTTCAGATGGTGCTCAGGGTAGGGTGGGTGGGTGGACACGGGGCCACCCTGAGGAGGGGTTTGTTTTCTTTCCTCTTTCTGAAGAAAACCAAAAAGGAACTTGTAAATGAGTTTGGTGCTGCTTCATGAGCTGCTCCTTTGGGGGACAAATGCAGGTGTTGGAAACCAAGAATACCAGCAGGCTGGTATCTGAGCTGCTTTGGCAGCTGAGCCCGTGGTGCCCAGCCCAGCTCCTGGTCACACTCTGCCTGTTCCCTGCTGCTCCTGCCTCACTGCACCTCCAGGGATGAGCAGGGACAAACCTGGGTCATCCTGGCATCTCCAGGCTTGGCTGCAACGTGGGAAATGGGGATTGAGCACCATGGAAAGAGAGAGAGAGGAGCAGGGAGGGATGGGCAGGAGGTGGGTGTGAGGTGCTGGAGCAGAGGTGGAGGGAACACAGGATGGTGGGGTTGGAAGAGATCTCTCTCCACGGTGAGGAGCTGAGCCCTGGCAGAGGCAGGAGCTGCCCTGGGGGGCTCAGGCTGCATCTGCTGCTGCTCTGAGACACCAAAGGAGGAGGGAGGAAGGGGCTGAGAGCCTGGGTGGGAAAAGCTGCCTTGGGTGGAGGTTCAGATGGGGCTCCAGGAGGTTCACAGCAGCTTCTCTGCATGGGCAGAGGACACTGCTGCCCTCAGAGCTCTCCCTGGGCTCACAGGGAGTGTCCCAGCATCACCAGGTGCAACCAAACACAGAGTCCTGGAGTGTCAGGGGTGGGAAGGGACCCCTGGAGATCACCCATCCAAGCCCTGCCAGAGCAGGATCCCCCAGAGCAGATCCCACAGGAACACGTCCAGGAGGGCTGGGAATGTCTCCAGGGATGGAGACTCCCCCACCTCCCTGGGCAGCCTGTCCCAGGGCTCTGCCACCCTCCCAGCAAAGAACTTTCTCCTCATCTTCAGCTTGACCCTCCTGGGCTCCAGTTGGTGCCCATTGCCCCTTGTCCTGTCCCTGGGCACCCCTGGGAAGAGTCTGGCCCCATCCTCCTGCCACCCCCTGCAGGTATTTCTAAAGGAGATGCCCTGGGATGGGCAGTTCCAGAGTGGGCTTAAAGAATCATGGGATGGGTTGGGTTGGAAAGGACCTTGAAGATCATCCAGTCCCACCCCTGCATGGGCAGGGACACCTCCCACCAGCCCAGGTTGCTCCAAGCCCCATCCAACCTGCCCTTCAACACTGCCAGGGATGGGGCAGCCACAGCTTCCCTGGGCAACCTGGGCCAGGCTCTCACCACCCTCACACCAAAGAATTTCCTCCTCATGTCTCACCTCAATCTCCCTCTCCCAGTTTTCATCCACCCCCCTCATCCCATCCCTCCCTGCCCTCATCCCCAGCCTCCTGAAGCAGCAGCAGCACCAGGCAGCAGGGCAGGCTCTGGGCTGGGGTGGCTGCTGCTCTGCTCATCTCTAACAGATATTGACATATTTAAACACAATCTGGAGCATATAAAAAAAAACAAAAACAGCCCCAGATGTTGCTGGCTATTGGGTGACAGAACACCTGATAGCTGCAGGACCCACTGTTCCCTTCCCTCCAGGGATTGACATTTACTCTGTGCCACCACCACGGGGGCTTCTCGGAACAGACCTGCTCTCCCCACCATGGTTATTCACCAGCTCTTGCATCCTCTGCTCCAGCTGCCCCCAGGATGATGCTGCCTCTTGGAAACCAGAGCCAACCCAGGGCCCCAGGGAGTCAAATCATCACCCCTGAGCAGGTCCCTGAACCCTGGAGGAAGGGCCATAAAGGGGTGGTTTGGGGCAACCTTAACTGTGCCCTGGGGGGTCCCATCTGGAGAACTGGGCCCAGTTCTGGGCTGCCCAGTTGCAGAAGGACAAGGAGCTGCTGGAGAGAGTCCAGCCCAGGGCACTGAGATGCTGAGGGGGCTGGAGCATCTGCCTGGGAGGAAAGGCTGGGAGAGCTGGGGCTGTTGAGCCTGGAGAGGAGGAGGCTGAGGGGGGATCTGCTCAGTGCTGATCAATATCTGCAGGGGGTGGCAGGAGGATGGGGCCAGACTCTTCCTAGTGGTGCCCAGGGACAGGACAAGGGGCAATGGGCACCAACTGGAGCCCAGGAGGGTCAAGCTGAAGATGAGGAGAAAGTTCTTTGCTGGGAGGGTGGCAGAGCCCTGGGACAGGCTGCCCAGGGAGGTGGGGGAGTCTCCATCCCTGGAGACATTCCCAGCCCTCCTGGACGTGTTCCTGTGGGATCTGCTCTGGGGGACCCTGCTCTGGCAGGGGGGTTGGACTAGGTGATCTCCAGGGGTCCCTGCCAACCCCAGCACCCTGTGAAGTTGTTTTCAGAGGGGGTTGGAGGCAGCTCCTCAGCTGGGCACCAGCAGCTGCAGCTGGGGCAGCTCTTTCTGATGCTAAAAAAAGGCCACAAATGCAGCAGGTTCAGGGCTGTGGGGCTGGAACCCCCTTCTGTGGGGCACAGGTGGGTTTCCTTGGTTGGAGAAACTGGGGGAGTTCCTCCTGCTGTGTGGGCAGGTGCAGGGACACGTTGTGGGATGGGTCAAAGGAGAAGGAGCTTCTGTGGGAAACTCTTCAAAACACTTAAAATA